GTCTAAAATGTGTAGAGTGATGTTTACTACAAATAGTGAATTCCTAATATCGGTGATGATGTTGGACCCTATGGAAGGCTTAGAAATTGAAAATTTATAATACAACAGAACACTTCAGATTTACTTAGGAAAATAGGTACCTTAAAATAACAAAGCTGGGAACAGTGACAGCACTTGTAGTCCTTGCTACTGAGGATCCCAAATCAGAAGGATTGCTGTAGCCCAAGAATTTAGCAACTATGTAGACTGTATTTCTAAAAAATAATAATAACAAAAGATTGTGCTGAATCAAATGAGCTGGAAGTTCTATATACTATTTTCTTATTTTTTAATTGAAATGAATTAAAATATTTTTATTTTTCCTTATTTCAGGGGCAGTATAATTTTTTTAACATACATTTTACACAATACATTCTTACAAAATAAATAAAAGTGACTTGTAACCATACCCACTCAGAATCTGTTTACCCCAGATGCACTGTATGAACTTTCCACATAGATTGGCTGTTTGCTGTCCCCAGAAGGATATTCTATATATGATCTCAATGTATGATTTTTTTATAGTTTTAATAGTTAGATTTACTACTCACTTCATTTGCTTGTCAGGCAGTTTATTTTATATTATAAACTAAGAGAATAGTTTTATGATTTTGGAGTATAATGTAAATATAACTTATTTAATATAAACCAGATTTTAGAATAGATACTAGATAGAATTTACTACAAAATCAGAATAAGTATTTGGGTATGTCCTTTTTGTTTCTAGAATTACAACATGAAAATGTCTTTTATGAGATATTGCTTGAAAGTTGTTTTATAGAAATAAATTGAAAATGTAAGCTTGTACTTATTAAGTGTTCTTGAGTTTTGGGTATGGTTTACAGCTTTATTTTTACCAAAAGACTTTTGACAAAAAATACCAGGAAAATTTTTACTTTACCTGAAAATAACCTGAGATGAAATACACACACCAGATGATTGACCATTTTTGTTATCTTTCAAGGACTGTACTCACTCACTGTAACTTCACTAGAATAAACTCATCCTATTCTGGGGAATGAAGTAGCAGGCAGAGCCTGTGCATCTGCCACATTGTTTAAGCCATGTTGCCTCACATAAAATTGTCTAAACTCAACATGGAATGTGCATTAATAAACACTTCTCCATTTTTATGTGTGCAGTTCTGGTATTTTAGAATGAATATAGTGGAAGCTATTTACAATTGGGAAAAATATTTACAGTTGGATTTTCTTTTATTTTGCAGTTTGCAGACAGTAGGTTGCATGCCTCCCCCTGTGTCTTCTGCAGTGATTTTAACCAAGGCAGTTGGTGGAAATGAGGTGAGTTTTGGGGGCTGACTTGATATAAACATAAATGCATGCTGTGCTTTTCCTTTGTTCAAGACTGTGCTTTGGACATAAGGAAGTTGTATTGCAGAGAACTCATAATTTGCAACTTATGAAAGAAGAAGTTCTATTCACCTGTAAGGATGATGCTAAAATTGATGTTGGAATTTAAGATTTCAAATGGGTGTTCAGGGGAGATGAATGAAGTAGAGACATGATTTTGCTACCCCAGTGAGAAGTTGGGAGGCACAGGACAGAGGAGTTCAAGCACAGAAACTTTTCATACAAGACACACAGGCTGAGGACATTCACTATGGGCATTTTTAGTTCCTAAAAAAATTCATAATCGACTAAATTGGTTAGGAAGGTTCTGAATGTTTAGTGGCAGTTAACGATGACATAAAGGAGCAATTGGACCAGGTTTCTAAATCAGTTCAAAGGAATTATCCAAATGCTAGGGGACTCTAGTAAAAGAATTGTGATGGTATATTGAAATAGTAGTTATGCATTTCAGAAGCTATGGTATTTATTGATGGGTCTTTGGTTGAAAAGTGCTGTGACTTTGTTTTGAGGGACTTTTCTTAGTGATAGGATATTGCAGCTCTCCTTGTGTCTCTCATATAGAGAGGAATACTCTAACGGAAGACACAGTGGATCCCTATTTCTTTTCCATCTTAGGATGCTGCTACATATATGTTTTAACTTTCATCCATTTTATTCTTTGCAAAAATATTTATCATGTTATAGTCTTTTCTTAAACAAATCTTATTGAAATAATTGATACATGCAGTGAATTGTAGGCATTTAAATGATTGAATATTTTGTAAAACCATCATGACATTCCATTGTGCATTGCTTCAATAGAATACCTGAAGCTGGACGATTTATGAGGTGCAGAGGCTGATCTCTTACATTGTCGGGGGCCTGCGCTGGGGGAGGGCCTTCTTGCAGTATCATCCGGTGGCGGAAGCAGAGGGCAAACTAGAGCCTGGGAGAGAGAGGGAGAGATTGATCTTTCAGCCTGAAGCCCTCTTATGATTGGCATTAATCCATTCGTGATGGTGGAGCCCTCATGACCTAAACACCTCTTATTAGGCTCCACCTCCCAATACTGTGGTCTTAGATACCCTGTTTCCAGTGCATAATTTTTGACCATCTATTCACCTTCTATTCTACTTTTTGTAACTTTTTTTTTTTTTTTTTTAATGTATTAGTACAGGGCCTATAGGGTCTCACTATACAGATCAGACTCATAGTGATCCTCCTGTTTTCAGCCTTCCAAGGGTGCTGAGATTTTTTTTAGGCATGCAGTTGCCGTCTCAATGTGCCCCAGGGGTGGGGTCAGCATGGCACACTGGGGATCAAACCCCAGTTGCTGGGCCTGGCTAAGCATGTGCTTTAGTCCACTGAGCTATCTGCCAGCCCCTATTTTATTTTTGAGATGGGTTTTACTGTATCGTCCAGGCCTGTATCCTCCTGAGCTCAATTGATCCTCCAGCCTTAGACTCCCATGAGCTGGTATTGTAGGTGTGTACTATTGCACCTGGCCTAGGAGCCGTATTCAAAGCATAGCTCCCTCAAAGTTTTCTGTGTCTCTGAGAATCCTACTTTTCTGAGCACCCTTTTCCACCAAGTAACTATGTATCTATTTTCTGTCACTATAGATTAGTTTGTGTTTTCTAGAGATTGGTATAATAGAATCATGCTGTGTGTGCTGTTTGGTGGGTTTTTTTTTTTTTTCTGTTTTCTTTTACTTAGCACAATTGTCTTAAAATTCATCTATGCTTTATTAGTAGTTGAGACCTTTTTGTCACTGAAAAGTATTTTTTTATTTCATTGTTTCATTTATTAAGTTATATTTGCATTTTTAAATTTTATTTTATTTATTTAT